TTATATATGAATTACTATTTTAAACTATATACACATATTATAATAGAATATCAAATTATTAAATTTTTTCTTATGATTTTTCTTTTTTTTTTCAATTTAGTATTAAAATAATTTGGTTTTATTCAGGCTAAGTTCTTACTAATTTTTGCTCTTTATTAATTTATAAAATTTTTAATTTAAAATATTTTATGATAAAATAACGTTCATGTCAAGGAATTAACGAAGGAGTTGATTAGACTAAAGGTCAGAAACATGTAGTACAATAATTATTAAAATAAATGCCACTGTTGATTGTTAAAAAGAGTTCGGAACTCTGTGTTAAAAAAAATGTGTGAATTAGACATAAGAAGATTAAAAATCTGGTTTTCGACAGTAGTTACAAAACTTAGATATTCCAACTATTAAAATTACTTTTTTTTTTTTTTTAAATTTAACTATAACATAAATAATTATTTTCCTAATTATGGAAGACTTATAAAATTTTATAGCCTTTTTAAAAAATTCCAACTAAATAAAAATTTACGATTTGAACTACTTTTTACTATAAAATATAAATTTTACAGTAATGTCATCATAGTACAATTATTATAAGCTTGAAAATCCTAAATATATGCAATTTTTTAATATATTGATTGTATATTTTTTGATGTATTGAAGTTTTCTAAATTAATTTTTAAGAGCTTATGTTTTTAGAATTTAATTTCAAAGTTTATGATTCAGTTGAATTCGGGAATTTAGGTTATATGAATTTGATAATATTTACCTACACTTAAATGTAACAATTATATTACAAATTACACTAATAATGATGATTTAATAATAATAGCTTTACCGCGTTTCTGCAAATGTTCTAGTTTTAACTTAATATTTTAGATTGTAATATGTATATATGATTAATGCAATAAACTGCTACTAAATCTGTTAAATTTTAAGATGTTAACTAGTAAATTTTTTGAAATTAGAATTGGATTTGTACGTTCGATAACATAAAATAGTTAGAAAATTGAGAAATTAAAAATAGAAAATGGATGATGATGTAATAAATCTATTAACAATAAAGAATTAATTAAAACTAAATATACTATTTATAACTAGATAAAATCTTTATAACAAATCAATTTTAATTTTTTTTATAATCCTAAAAATATATAGTAGAATAATGACAATTTCTTTTGAACTAAAACTTTAAAATTTATAAAAGTAATTCTTGCAATTTTAAAGGAAATTACAAGTTTTCATAAATTAATATATAAAGAGTTATTTAAGGGGTTTTTCGGTATTGCATGATGAGCTGCAAGTTTTAAATCAGAATTAAACGAAGAGCCTTTTTGCAATATTTGAAGTAAAACAAAGTCTGACGTTAATACTTTTGTGTGATGCGCAATTATGTCAGAATTAAAGTTAGCTGTCCGTTTAATTAATCAATTTCAAATAAAGAATTAAGACCGAAATTTTGTTTATACCTATGTTACCTAAAGCGCAGTCAAAATGACTGCATTGGGTATTGGAATTCTAAGCCAGTTTTTGGAGCTAAGAATAACAAATGTACTCGTATAAAACAATTTGTTTAAAATTAATTTTTAATATTTTTTATATTATTTACAGTTAAATAACAAGTTATTTATTAAATATTAAGGGCGCAAATTATATAAAATAAAGAATTTGTTAGAATAAGTATCACTGCATACGAAAAACAATTATTCAGCCACTGCATTTTATCTAATTAGAGTACGTTTGAATCGACAATTTATCATATACTTGCATGCCATTATGTAACAGTCATCAAAATAAATGTTATATAAATACAGAGCCGAACTGGTTATATAAGAAATTTACTCAATTCAATAATAAGTCATTTGATTATTTTAAATTTCATTAGCAATCAAAAGTAGACTGTTTTTGGGCAATATAGGTATAACACATATAAATACCAAAACTGAAGGAAGGGGGGGGTGGGGGGGTGGAGAGGTGAGTAGGTAACTACAATTATTAATGAACGCATTTTTTATGTTGCATAAAAAGTAATAAAATTTTATGAAATTATTGCATACATAATTTTTTTTTCTAATTGAAATTAAAACGCAGTCAAAATGACTTCCTTGGGCAATCTATAGTGTTAAAAAGAAATAGGACGGGAATTTATTTAAAATTTGTTGAAAATGCAACTATTTCAAGGTATAAATGGAAAAAAAATAAGATAAATTTCAAATTAACTTAAAAATTTAAATAATTTATTTTAGTAAATTTTTAATGTCCGATATTTTAATGTTAAAAATCACTTTACTTTTAAACTAAACTACAGAGCATGCTGGCAAATAATACTTCAAAATCGAACACTACAAATTTTTAGTTCTTTAATAAAAAACATCCTGTATATTATATCCAACAAAGAACTGAAATACCGGAAAAACCCTTAGGTTTAGCACAGAATCACGCGTGCTCATTGTATAACATTTTCAGAAAAAAACCTAAATTTATTTGTGTGAACAGTGAAATTTACTTGAAAATCTAATTATTAATAACTAAAACAACTAACATGACAACTCTTGATTAACAAAAATTAGTTCTAATATTTTAAATAAAAATTCTAATTCAAATGTATAAAAATGAAAATTTTGAATAATTTATAATATTAATTATAATTAAGAATATTTCTGAGATTTTATAAACATATTTTAATCAGTCTTCACTTAAATTTGGCTTTTGTTTTTTTATTAAATAAAATCGTAATAATTTAAAATAATATTTTTTTTTTTATTCTTATAATTTAATAATATTCAGAATTGCAATTAAATCTTTTGTATTTCAGAATGTTAATTAATTATTTAATCTTATTATATTAATAAAATAATGCTAAATATTTATTCTACTTATATAAATTTTGTTAAATGAATTAACAAAATTTCCCAGCTTTCGAATAGTGTAGTTAGCACATGTTTCACATGTGGGATCTATTACCTTTATATAAAACAAATTGTCTGTGATGAAAAAAATAGTGTTAAGATTTAGTGTGACGATAATGTCACTTTTAACTTTTATTGTTGTTTGGACTTTGCTGGTATATATTTGTACCAGGATCGAAATTGTTAACTCCACTCATGTATGTAGATAGCATTAAAATTTGAATAGAAATTACGAAGATGCCATTTCATTTATATTTTTTGGGATTATGAAAATTTTGTGGAATAAAATAGGTTTACTATTGAAATTTATAAGTAAATTATTTATGTAATTATTTAATTTTGAAAAGCTGTGTTGCCAATTCATAACATATTATCCTATGAAACTTAATTACTGGTAGAAATATACAAGTGATTATACAGTAGAACTATTGTGAATAATTATTATGTAATACAGTAGAACTAGTGTGAGGTTGCGAGTATTTTACTGATCTTTTTACATTATTTTCTTTATATATATGGTTTATATATTTACATATATATTTTACTTTGAAGCAATAACAACACATGTTTAGTATACATAAAAATTAATTTAGTATTGAAATTTGGCTATTTGGTTCTGATTAATAAAAGTCTACCGCATAGAGAGAGCAACTCTCATTTTCCTTTTATGATTTTTTTAAAAAGAAATTATAGAGTTTTTATGAAGAAAAAAAAAAATTATCACCGCCCTCTTATGTTTTAGATTATTTGCATCTGAAAATATCTAAGAAGATTATTATAAAAATACAGAAATTTTGGAGTATTATTTTGGTATTTGCAAAAATTGTGAAACGAGAGAGGTTTTTCACTTGAGAGATAAGATAAGAATTTGTTTTTAAAAATTTATAGAAATTTAATCGAAACAGACTTTGAAGATGAAGAAGAAAATATTAAGTGTTTTTAATAATTCAGTGCTAACTCAGAACCAATACAAAATATGATTCGCAAATAAAAACTGTATTAGAAACTGTAAAGAAACTGTAAAGAAAAATATTTGAAGTTTTCATCATAGCATAGCAGTATATAGTAGTACGAGTACAATTAATTATTACTTATTGTTATTGATTTTAAGATATTTTTAAATGCCTTTGACTGTTCATTTCCCTTATTATTATACGAAAAAAAAAATCAAGCAAACCAACAGGACCTACTTCAACAATAGTTTTATACTTAAAACAATAATTTCAATAGAAAATAAAATGAGAAACTAAAAAATTATTTCAATAGAAAACAAATTGAAAAAAAAAAAAAAAAAACATACGAATTATAACGAAGTTGGGCCGATTGAAGTATTTAGTAAAATTTTTTTTATTCCCATGCAGCAGCCTTATACTAACTAGAGTAGTGCTATGAGTCAACATTATAAATATTGTAATTTGTATTTGAAAAGACGAGGAAAAAAATTATTAACACGTGAATGATCGATCATAATTAAAAATTGGATCAATTATCAGGATCGGAGTTTAGCAATTGAGAGATCTGTTTTTTTTATGTTTATATATATATATATATATATATATAGTGAATTTAGTTGAAAGAAGATTTTATAATCAGATTAGAATACTATTACAGTCCGACTATAATTATAATATCGACATTATTAAATTTTGTAAAATTGCATATTTTTTGGGGCATTTTGGTAAATTGGAACACATTTTTTACATTGAGACTGTAAGTTTATGAAAACTTGTCCTTTTTTTTTATATTGCAATATCTATATATTGGTATATTGAAGAAAACATATATATGTATTTGAATGGGGGTAACAATGGGTTAAGAAATTTCTTACAATTATACTTGTGAATTCTAAGCCAGTTTTTGGAGCTTTTAATCGAATTTTCTCTTTTTTTTTTCAAGATTTTTAATTATTTTTTTTTATTATTAATATTTTTCTATTTTTTTTTTTTTTGTGTTTTTGTTTTTGAAATATAAAGTTATAAAATATAGACATTTTATGTTAAATAGTTTTAAAATGATTAACTTAAATTAAAATTTACAGTTAAAATTTTAAAAGTTGATGATAATTAACAATTATGTTTTTTATTTTTTTTTTTTCAGTTTTGAATTTATGGTAAACTAAATTTAATTTTGTGACTTATTGAATACATAGCTATTAATATGTAAGTCTGTATTTTTAATACTAGGCTCTAAGTTTTTGGTGAAAGTCATCGTATACATACGTGCGTATGTGTAAGAAACTTTCATTTTCTTTTACATATTTAAAATAAAATTTTAATTATAAAGCAAGTATGTAAGTATGTTTTGTTTTTATAAAAAAGACATTTGGTTTTTCTTTTAATCCTTTAATATCATCTAGTTATTTTGTAAGTTTTATTTTTGTTCTTTTTTTTCTTCTAATATCCTTAACTATTGTTACATGCAGATTTTTGTTTTTTTTTTTTCTTTTTAAAAATAATTATTTTTTATTTTCTTGTCTACAATAATATCTATATAATTATACATGTATATATATATATGCAAGTAGTAGGTATATATATATATATATATATGTTTATAAATAAATTTATATTATGCTATATTTTAGTTTATACATATTTATAATGTTATACATATATATTTATACTAGTATTTTTTTTTTTTTATTAAATATTATTACTATATTCAAAGAAAACTTTCCCGTGCTCCTTGACCTTCTGCTCCCAAAACAACACGTTGTGATGGTGGCTCACCATATTGACTATGATAAAAATCTTCTCTCATCATAATATTTAAATTTGAACAACGGAAGTATAATATCTCTTGGAACGGTTTACGGAAATCTCTATTTAATGTTGCATATATGATTGGATTTAATAGAGAATTAGCATAACCCAACCATAAAAATAATGATGATAAAGCTTCTGGAACATGATAATTTTCTCTTTCGACAAATGGTCTTATTAGAGCTAATATAAAAAATGGTAGCCAGCAAACCGTAAATGCTGACATTATAATACCTAAGGTTGTTGATGCTTTCCTTTCTTTAGCTAATTGAAACCTTAATTTTTTTTGATGTGGTGAACTTAATAAATTAGCTGCTCCACTACCAGAATTACCTATTTGTGATGGTTGTGTAATATTTGTTGTTGTTGTTGTTGTTGTTGATGTATTACGATAATTATCTCCACATCTTATATTTTCATTTATTTCTACTTTTTCAGCTGTTGTACCATTTAATGCATTTTCTAAACGTGTTTGAGCTCTTTTTTCTTCCATAACAATTCTTCTAGCTGCCTTAAATATTTGATAGTATACAAATAACATAACTGTTAATGGTATATAAAATGAACCTAATGTTGCATATATTTGATAACCAAAATTTTGACAAACAGTACATATTGGTTCACCATTTTCACCAACATGTTCATTTCCAAGTATTAATAATGGTGGTAATGATATACATGCAGCTGCTAACCATACTAAACCAACACATATCATCATACGTCTTGGTGTTCTTTTAACACCATATTCCAATGGTTTTGTAATTGCCCAATATCGATCAACTGATATAGCACATAAATTTAATATTGAAGCTGTACAACATAAAACATCAAATGAAACCCAAATATCACAAAATAATTGTCCGAAATTCCATTTTCTAAGAACTTCATATAGAAGAGCAGTTGGCATAACTAGAACAGCAACACATAAATCTGATACAGCTAAAGATACTAAAAGATAATTGCACGGTCTTCTTAATTTTCTAACAAGACATACAGCCACACATACAAGTACATTACCAATAACCGTGCCTAAAATAATTAACAATAAAATAATACTAACAGTTACGGTTTGAAAAGGAGAGAGATTAGTTTCGTCAGTTTGATCGGATTCCGTTGTTAATATTGTATAGTTTACATCAACGTTATTATTATAATTATTGCTAAAATTATTATTTAAATCCGTTTCAGTAAACTTTGGCAACTCATCTAAATAACTTTTATTTTGTGTGGTTGTACTAGATGAAAACAAGGAACTCTCATCAAAAAGTCTTATTTGATCTATCAACGTAGTTGTAAAATTATGAAGCAGTCTGGATGTAATAATTTCTTTTGATTGAAATGAATCCATACAAGCAGGATTTTGGTACGTAAAGGTATTTTCTTGTACTAAAAAACAACATCTTATGATCCCATCTCAAATGTTGTAAAAATTATTGATTCCATTTTAATATTTTTCTATAGCCTGGTTCTTACATTATTTCGTATATATTTTGCTAATATAATTTGAACACTTTAATTTTTTCCTATATAATTTATTTTAATTATTTATATTTATTTTTTAAATTTTAACATGCACGTATATCGTGTCTTATGAGCTTTATGTGCATCTTCTTTTCTCAATACAGTTGTTGTTCATTGTGTCTTAATGTGAATGCGGTAGTCTTGTTAAATATTAAAATAATTTTTTATTTGCTTAATGGAATTTGGAGGAACTATATGTAAAACTTTTATCAGCCGTATACGCATACATGAATTCAATTTTGAAGCTACATTACATTGGAAACGGATTGTCTGTGTTTCTGAAAAAATTGGAAAAAAATAATTGAATTAGTAAAAATCAAACCGTTAATATTATATTTTATAAAATAAAAACTATTATGCTAATATATTTGTGTAATTGTAAATTCAATAATATTTTTCACTAATTGTAGTGGATGACAATCGATTAATAAAAATTTCGGGTTTCAAACAGCCTTTTCAGGTAAATGCAATAATTTCGGAGAGATCCACAATTTTTTTTCGGAAATCATTCAGAAAATAAATCCCGCTAGGACTCAGACCTCAAAAAGTAAGAAAGAAAATTTAATTTAATATGGTTGACTGCCCTATTATATTAATGGAAAGGTCTTGACAAGCTCGACAGATAAATTTTGAAGGTTTTTTTCAGAAAATTTCTTTGGTCTTTAAATAGGAATTTATTTTTTTAAAAAATTTTCTATGTACTATACCTCAAGATTCATCTTATTGAAACCATAAATAATCATATTGGATACCAAAATAAAGTGTTAATAACATAGCTCAATATACAGCAGAATGCGCTCAATATACAGCAGAATGAGCCCAATGTGCAACTATATTGTATAACAGTAATTATTTGTGAACTTTTGTCTATAATAAAATATACAATTATTTTATAAAGTTTCACTTAAACGTCACTTATATTTTTAGATCATTTCGATAAATACTTAAAAATAAATTAGTTGTGGTGTATGAGGCTTTAATAAAAAGTGCATTTTAAACTGCAATTTGCCATTGAATAAGTTTCTTTTTAGTTAATAATAAAAAAAATTTTAGAAGGCAATGGTCCTTAGGAGAGTGGTTAATCTTATAATTTCGGAGTATGCTTATTAATTGAGTTAGTACGCAAATTAAATTTGAATTTGAAGTAGGTCAGTAATTTTGGCAAAACTTTATGAATAATTTTGAAAGAAAAGTGAATTTAGAATAAAAGAGTGCATTTGTAGTTCACGAGCATATGGTAAATCTCAAATGTGTATGCATACAACAACCTCCTACTTTTTTTAATCACTCAATAAGGAATGTAGAAAAAACCCTCTCATCTTGTGATATAACCTAAATTTGAAATACCGGCAATTCAGCTTATGATATTGTAATTGCTGAATAATGCATGAAAACGGTAAATTAATGAAATTTGCGAAACGCAATTACGTTCAAGATGTTCCAAAATCCAAAACGAATGTTGTTCAATAATATTACCTAATCTTTTTTCAAATTGGTTTAATAATATTTATAAATAATTTTTTTTTCAGAAAGTTCCAACTAAAACTCAGTTGCTTGCGAAAAACTTATGGTTATGTAAATATGTATTATCCTTATTGTAATTTAATAATCAAATAATTTCATGCAAAACTCTTAAAGCTGTTGCAACAAATTTCTATAAGTAATAAATCCATAAAAATTTTTTGTAAATGCCCCTTTAATAGTTTTATTTTTTTTAATATATTCATATAATTTGCAAATCTTTCAAGGTGTGATTATGATAATATCATTCATAATTTAGAGATTATTATTTGTAAGGTATTATAGATTTTCCGTTTCGTTTGTAATATCTTGTCATGCATATTTTTCCCAATTGCATGACATTTGCACAAATCCTTAGCCATAGTAAATGTCTTGCTGGTATGAAGCAGTGTAGAAATTCTCTCACAACTGATAGATTAATTCATTTGTAAGGTTATAGCAGTATTGGTCGGTCAATACCCACGTTATGGGTCATATTTTATTTTGGGAAATGAAAAATTTCCAATAATATAGAACAAATATATAGGTGTTCACTTTGATATTCCTCGCTATTTAAATATAATATAATGTTATAATATATTGTAACATTTGAGAGTTTATTATTACTCGCAATTGGGAGTTTCATAAAGGACCAATAATAAAAATTTAATGTAAAATAAGTAAAATGGCATTCGAAAAATATGAGTTTTGGTCATCTATCTTAATTTTCTATAAAGTTAAGTAGATAAATAATTTCTCTAAAATTATGAATATATTATAAGGACTTCTTCCAAAATTCAGATTTTATGCCAATTTGACTTATTCAGTAGCTCTGACATTACACACTTTTTATATTTTGCGAAGCGTCCTATAAATTTGATATCAAAATAAAAAATTAATTTATTCCTGAAATTTATGCAAATCATTTCAAATTTTTATATTTGCAAAAGTATACAAAATCTACAATACAAACATTTTCGCAGACACTTGAATATCTTTGAGTCAAATAATTTAAATTTTAAGTATATATGTATGTAGATATACTTAAGTTTTTTTTTTTTTGATAAAATTCCGTTTTTGCCCATAACTTTTATATGCTATAAAAAAATACAAAAAAATTTTTTTTACCGATGCAATACAATAAGGGAGCTTATGTGATGGAACCAAATTTTACATGTCGTGTTTTCGACGGAATGTATTTCTCTGTACTATAAGGGAGCGGAACTAAACTATTTTTAGAGAGATATCTGTCGGTCTGTCTGTAAGTCTGTTTATCTGTCTGTCAGTCTGTCTGTGCAAATCAGTATCTCAAGGTCGACTGGAGCGATTTTCACAAAAATTTATATCTGAGTTCTTATCGAGGATGAGATGGTTCGATTAACTCCCAGTTCTCTGGCATTGGATTTTCCTATGGGCAAAATTTACATTTTTGTACTTATTAAATTGAAATGATCTATTGTTTTTCTTGAAATTTAATATATGTATTCATATAGGGTGCTGAAACAATGAAAGTGTAAAGTTTTTGGGAACATCGGCGCTCGGAAACCCAACCTGGGACGGAATTTGCATTATTTACGATATATAAGGAAGTAGTTATCAAAATTTGTTGAAATTTAATATTTGAGATCTGCTCACTATTGAAAGTAACTCATGAAGCTCTGCTTAGAGCCAGATTCACATTTATCTAGGTAAGCTATCTAAAATCTTACTAGGGTTCTTAAAATTATAAAGAAGTATTTAATTTAATAATATTATACAGCATATTCGTTAAACTAGATAATAAACCTCGCGGTAAGTTATGTACTGATCGCATCAGATTTTTTGCTTTCAAATTATCAAGTTAAACATGTGGAGGGCAATTGTTGAAAGCCTTATAATCCTCATAATATGAAAATATTTTAAAATTTTAAACTTTACTAAATTTGCATTCTTGATTAATTCAATTTTTACTTTTAGTGTATTTTGACTCTTAAGTGAATTGGGTCAGTACCTTTTAATTTTTTTGTGTCCTCCTAATGAACTAAAAATTTAAAAAATTTTGAAAATCCTAGAAAATGTGATTTGCCCATAAGCCCTCGGATATTTTCTATTGGAAAACGTATATATATATTCATGCGTTTATATATTATGTATATGATATGTAAAAATTATGACATACTTGTGATTGAATAATTTATAAGTGAATAAACTGCAGCAATTTACATTAATTTTTCATTTTTGTCTCTTTATTTTAAAATAATGATTGCATTGCAAATTTTTTTGTGGATTTTGTACTTTATGAAACAAGATTATGTCGTTTTATATGTACATAATAAATTAATCGTGTATACATTATGTTATATATGAATAACTTGAAAAAGAGGAAGTTTATTAAAAATTTTCATTTGATTAATAAAATTAAAACGTCGTATAATGTTAAGGTTCTGGTAGTGGATATTCGTTATCACGTCTTGCTTTATATTTCGTATGTACTTGATAATGAATTCAAAAAAGAAAATTATTTAGGGGGGGGGAAAATTTTTTTTTATTCACACATAAATGCTATCATTAAATTTTCTTAAAATATTAAAAAATTATAAAAATTTTGAATATAAATTTAAATTTTATTATTCTTACCATCTACAGAAAACGCATGTTGTTAAATTTGGTTTTATTGTTTTTGAGAAAAAAATTAATATTAATTAAAGTAAATGAATGTATAAAGCCATATATAAAAGTAAATAGTCTTCGATGGGCTCAATGATTTTTTGGACGTGTTTCTGATACCCGGTCTTCTCTTAAATTTATAATTTAATTTAATGCGTTTGTGTAATGTAAGGAATTGTGTAAGAGATTACCATTATAATAAATGAGAGTAGTGGCCATAATTCCAATCTACTTTTGTTTTGATCGAATCAAAGAGACAACAAATATAGTAAGAATCACAAAATGATGAGCACTCCTATTTATAGACAAAACATCAAAAATTACGTTCATAGTTTTTTTTTTTTCCAAAATTTCAAATTTTTTGCTCATAAACTCTGATAAATAATTTAATTTTCATCATATAAGTTTAAAATATATAGGACAAGGTTACAAAATGGTTGAGTAATTAAGAAAAATGTGAAAGTTTAATTTTTGCCTACTATGGTACATGCACATATTCGCATTTTTGAAGTATAACACTTAATTATAATTTTAGGTATGTTGTGGAGACAAAATATAGCCTTGATTACATTTCATAAAAATTCGTTATTATACATACTATACTAATGGGTTAACTTTCAGCTTTCATTGTTCAATTTTCGAGAAATTTCGAGTTTAAAAAAAAAAAAAATCGTGACTTTGACCAGTTTTATCTTGAAAAATATGACTGAAATCTAATTGATTGAAAATCCGAATAAAGAGAGCAATCAATTATCTGTAAAAAAAAGTCCCCGATAGTTAGTTTATGTCGAATGGTTTCGAAACTATAAATATTTATTTATAAGCAGTAACAGTCAGTTTTTTTTCAAACAGACTGTAGCTCGAAAACGAGTATATGCAACATTTTTCCTGGAAATTGATCAAAAAATCATTTCTAAAAATATTTGCCATTTTATACGAAACACCTTGTATGTATAATGTACTTGTACATAATAATATAATATAAAACTAAAAATGCTATTAATTAAGGCATAAAATATTTGAAAATCTAATAAAAAAAAAAAATTACTTTTGATAAAAATTTAATTGCGGTTTTATAATATTTCGAAATTATATTGTATAAGAGTATAGATTAGTTTTTTCAGAAATAAAA